CTGCCCTCCAGACAGGAAGTCAAAGACCAAAAACAGCGGCTGGGCAGCCAGTCCGTCGACTCAAAAGCAAACTCAAAGAGGTCTAAGACTGGCATGTGAAGGCAAAGGAGAATTCTTGGTTGGGTTAGTTGCACACAGCAGATGAAGACCCCTTAGAGGTTTTATTCCACAGATTTACAACTAGATACGCTGCTGCATCTTTTTCGCTGCCAGAAGATGATTTTTACAGGTCACTCTGATTGAAAGCGAGATATCAATAATGTTTAGGTGCAGCTTTTTACTGTCTCACTCTGAACAAGTGTGTGATTTATGGATGAATTCAGTCCGACATGTGCAGCTTGTCAATTGTGTCTGTTTCCTTTTTTAGCTTCCAAAAGTGAACTTGGCAGGAATAGAAGTAGAAATAGAAGACAATCCCTGAAGATACCTTTGAACATCCCATGTGCTAAGAAAGAACCAAGGCTGCATTGATGGAGAATCCTTTTTTAAAAAGAACTGACTTTACTGGATCCCAAGCTGATACGAGCAGGAGCCTTTTAAAAATTAACCGAGTGTGGTGAACTGCTTGTGAAGTGATTGTGAAGTGCAATGTATACATGTACGAGGCTGAACATTGTCACCAATATGTACCAATCAGCTTGTATGTAATGATATATCAAGCTACCTTATATTAAAACATAATTATATTTTTATACAGCTATAATACATATAATACATGTACCTTTTTGATTTGAACTTCAATGAAGTATCTTAAATGTGTAGATAATTATATTATCCATTATGTGTTTTACTTATTGTTTTAACATGTTTTTATTAATAGCTCATTGGCTTATTGGTTTAACATATCAGAGATATTCAAAGACATTTGTGGATGTGGTATAAGTCAAAAATGGCAGCATAAAACAACTGGATAGTAGTGATTTTGTTCAGGGGTTTTTCTGGACTGTCTATGCTCCAGAATGAGATGGATGGCTTCTTTTTTATAATGAAGTGTATGGATCGATGTGCCAGTAACAGTGTTGTGCTGCCATCTAGCTTTACAGTTGGTTACATGCAACAAAGCAGGCCAAACATCTTTAAAATCAATGCAGAGCACTTACAGTGGTTATTACAAATGTTTTATACTTAGTTTTGAATGTATCTGCTTCTCTATTTGAATGTAAGAACTCTTAATTGAGTCATGATTCAGCTGCAATGACTTGACATGGTATTAGTTAATATGCTTAATTTGTTGTGATGAACATTGCAAGAATTGTAATGGTTTTCAGCTGGCCGTGATGTTGGTCTCGTTTATGAAATAAATGACTGAATGCAACAATGAAAACAAACTGACACTGTTTTATTTTGACTTCACATTTACAATTCTGTTATTGCATTTATGTTTCTAGAGTTGGGAGGCTTGTAGGCAACACACTTCATGCTGTTCTATGAAGCTATGTGTGTGTCTTAAGTCCACAACATGAACCAATGGGGGTAATTCAATTTGTTGGTTTCCTATTTCGTTGATTTTCACATGAATAAACAATCATTCTCTTATTTAACATTGTTACATTTGTGAGTTACTAGGTTTGACCAAATAAACAAACAACCATACACCTTCCACCTCGGCACATACCGGTACCCTTCTTCAGACTAAAGAAAATGTAAAGATGTAGAGCCCAAACGATGAATTTGCCGGCCGATATTAACATGGAACCATCTCTATCGGCAAATTTTATCTCCCATATGTGCTGATATAAGTTTATTCAACTTAAATTTATTATTTATTTGTATATATTTTATATCAATAATTGTTCATTTCTAGGTAAAAATAGTTTGCTGATGCTATTCTGGCCAGTAAAGGATTTTGTTCAACTGTAAAACATATGCTTATCTTATCTTCATTATTCATTAAGTGTTTTGTACATGCATTTCAGGATTAACACAATAAATGTTTGTGTTTGTCTACGTCAATCAAATGCTAAAGATCCAAGATAGATCCAAGAAAAGATATTGGTTGATATATATCGATATCAGAATTTTCTTCCTCCCTAATATTGGTATTGGTATCTGCCCCAAAAATCCTATATCAGACGGGCCCTATACAGAAGTGCGAAATTCAAAGCAATATAACCAAAATGTCACAGTGAAACAGTTGATTAAACAAGTAGATATAAGGCACACCAATGTGATGCTCAGTACGAAGTAATATGACATGCTGTGATTCGGACATATCACGGAAAAGGACCTAATCTTTTCCAATTTAAAAAAATAAAGCACCTCCTTTATTAGCGAGCATCAGTAGGTTGAACAGAGGATTTCAATTTTAAAAGTATCAACCTCTTGGCCAGCAAAGTTGTGAATGCTATCAAGTCCTTATTAGCTGTAAAAGATAAGGCGGAAAAGGTAACACACCAAACGGAAAAAGTACAAATATTAGGGACGAGATTTCCTCTAGTTACCTTAGATGATGTACTAAAAGCTTCAGACCAGAATCTGTTCAAAGGACAGCGCCAGAACGCAAGTGTGTAGTTTGCTGAAGCTCGACGTCATCGATAGCATGAAGGAGACACTGTTCCAAATACTTAAGCCAGCTGAGCTTTGGTGTAGGTTATTCCATTACTAAAAAATATTATAAGCAGCCGGGTCTCAAAAAAACACTGCACAGAAATTACATATTTCTCGGGTCGACATGTTCTTTCCTATTTGTAACTGCTGCATTTCAACATAATTAACTATCTTTTGGCAAAAGCAGTCCACGTTTTGATGAATGGATAAAAAGGAGGAGGATGCTTCTCCTCAAATCAGTAACACTCAAGTGAGGTTTAAGTAAAGCTATTAATAACTTTGGAATTTGACCTTCACTGATAGTGTGCAGAGTAGTCACGCTGTCCTGAAATCACAAACAATTTCACCATATATCTGGTAATATTTATAAAACATCAAAACATTCCCCACTGAAATATCACTGTTCAGCCTCCATGCATCTGCAAATGGTCTATTAAAATCCCTGAGTGAAATCACTTCATTAGATGAGTTTTTTATTTTCACAGGAGAATATTTTCAAAGACGAGGCAGAAAAATTAAGATACACAACATTCAGAAACAGCTCATACTTTTATTTAATTTTGGTTTTATGTGATAGTTCGCTTCTCTTCCCATCTGCTCCTCTTTGAATTCATTTTTTCATGAAAAGTAATGGTAAATGGACTTGAGCTTGTATAGCACTTCTCTAGTCTTCTGACTACTCAAAGCGCTTTTTACACCGCAGGTCACACCTACACATTCACACACTGATGGCAGAGGTTGCTATGTAAAGTGATCATCTGAAGTAACTAATCCCATGCCGCTGACAAAGTAGCAGGAGCAATTTGGGGTTAAGTGTGTTGCCAAGGACACATCAGACATGTAACTGCAGGAGGTGGGTACGAACCCCCAACCTTCCGGTTAGGAGACGACCGACTCTACCAACTGAGCCACAGCCGCCCACAAGTCCTACATGGTCAGTAAAACAACTACTATAGAATGGGGCTTTTTAAAGAATTATTTGGGTCAATAAAAGACTCACAAGAAATATTTAATTAAAATATTTGGGGCACAGATGGACTACTTACACCAACTTAAAGCATCGACGTTAAAGACGAATATGTCGAGTCAGGCTTTACTCGTGGTTTCAACTAAAAGTCGGACAAAAATGTTTTGGCCCCTTGTCTGCATATAAGTTAGGTCATCATGACCCTTTGTGGGATGAGAAACAAAGTTAAATATGATGTGCACTCAAGTGACTGGTCTTACAGTAATCATATCTCATGGAATATTCCTAATGTTACAGAAAGAAACAAAAGAGCAACAAGAAACACTGCAGTATTGAGTGAACATAATATGGGAACTATTTACTACAATAAGGCCTCCAAAACTTATAATCTGCCTTCTCATTATGATTGTAATGCATCACGATCATAAGAATTACATGTAAATGTAAAAGAAAAAGAAGTACGGTAGCTACTGAAAAACTGAGGTGTGGGTGCACACATTTCTAAGAGGGACTTCACTGTTGGAAGACTTCCCATCAACGTCCAGATGGTGGTGTTGTAAGCCTTACACCACCACCTTGAGCCACCCAAACCACAGCTTCACATTTCCGTACTCTATTGCCAAATTTGAACCACTGAAGATCCTTTGTATGTATGACTGATTAAAACACATTTCTGTAAAGTGCCATTTCCCTTGCATTCATCTAAATGACACGATTACAATTCTTCTTCTTTTTTTTTTTTTCAAGATTTACTTTTGGGCTTTTTGTGCCTTTATTCGAGAGGCAGGACAGTGGATAGAGTTGGAAAATGGAGAGAGAGTGGGAAACAGGAACTAACAACTCAGCCGCCTCCCCCGAAAAGGCAACCCAGTCAAAGTGAATCAGACCCTGACCTGTTTCACCACAGCACAGAGGTCAGAAGGAACGTTTCATTAACTTCCTTTCTTTGATTGTCAACACTTCCTTCTTGAATGGGGAAGAAGGAAGTCCTAATCCATAAACAAAGACGCTCAAATTTACCTTAAGATACAATAATCCATACTTTACCGTATGCTTCTTTTCAGACACATATAGACTTAGACTTAGACTTAGACTTTCTTTATTGTCATTCAAACTTGTACTTTACAGTGCAGATAAGAACGAAATTTTGTTGCATCTGGCCCGTTGTAGTGCAGGATAAAAACAGCAGCATGTATTTACATATAAAAAATAAAAATAAGGTGCAGATATAAATAGATATAAAAAATAGACATAAAAAGAAAATATTAAAATATATAGGCATAAAAGACATAAATAAAAATACAAAGAAGGAGACATAAATACCACTGGGGTCTTTGTGCTTGTTCTCTGTGCCTATCGTATTTCATGAAAGAAGGAAGTAGAAATTTTGCCCGCACAGAGAACTACATTTTTTCACTAAACAAACAAAGATGGGTGTGGCCTAACACAGTTTGCATCCGCTTGATAAAGTGACAGAAGTACTTGTGCTTCCTCCAGCACTTCCTTTAGTGAACTGATGCAGAATTTCCTCACACTCACTTGATTACATGAGATTGTAGAGTATGTGGCTTTAGCTGTGTACCCTCTACACTTGTCCAGTCTGGCAGTGAAAGAGTAAACCAGCGGTGCTAGAAGTGACTGCTCTGACAGGACTTGTCTTCTGTCCTCTGACGCCTAACAAGGGTCTCTACAGTCCCTGAGGTGATAACATTGTACAGGACCCTGCAAACAGTAAGTACACTGATGGCACAACTATTATTCTTTCTTCTTCGGATCTTACATAGTCACATCTTTTTCTTTTCATCACTTTTTTGTAGCACTTGTTATGCTTTGTACTGTGGTATCTGGGAACTGAAATACCTGAGCTGTTTTTTTAGGGAATGACTCTCTTACTCTGGTTAACACTGCTGCCTCATACAAAAAGGGGCATCTCCGTGTCCTAATCTTAGCGCTTTTATCTTACAATCCTGTTTGTGCAGGTTTGATGGGAAGGAAAAACATTTATTTTGGACAATTGTTTGGACAATCTGCTGGTTATGAGCAACAGATCTACAAAGTGTTGCTTTTAAGATATTCTACGTGTAAACTTTCTCCCCAAAAAGAACTATCTCTTTACCTTAAACCACTTCTTACATGGTTGTTTATGAACGTGCAATCGCCGTTTTTCTGTATCACACTTCCTTTTCAATATTGGCTGCTTAAGTGTTTACCTTGTGTTGTTGAAAAAAATATTTTTCCTGTTTGTAAAGGAGACACTTGAATAAGAAAGACCAAAAGACTCAACTCACATCAGCCATAGTACAAGAGTGTAAAGAGTATTTGAATGTATGTAAAGAGAATTCTTTCCTCCACTTACTTTTTACTATGAACTATAGGACAATGATTTAGTGTAATGTACTTGTGTTTGTTTAAGCCCATTCTGCACAGCAAACATCCAGCACTGAGTTGATCAGATGATACAACTAGGCTGGGAAGGAACTGTCTAGTCTACCTGGAAGGGCAAGAAGCAAAGTTCAACCAGGGATACAAAGTGATTTTACCTTTTCTCTTGAGTCATTAATAGGTGTGTTATTTATATAAATGGCCATATATATATGGCGGCTGTGGCTCAGTTGGTAGAGTCATTGCCTTTCAACCGAACAACAACGTAATGACTGACCGACGCATTAACCGACAATGTCATCAAAAGCACTTTAAAAGTTCCTCAGGACAGTCATCTTAGGCTAATTCAAATTTCTGATTTATAAATCCTAATTGTTATATTTAACCGAAGATTTTGTTCTAAGAGAAAAACAAGATCCTCCTTTTTTTCTGAGAACACTTTTTATGGTTTCAAACAACTAAAAATGCACTCACACAGTGAGCTAAAAAAAAAAAGAAAGAAAGAAGAAGCTTCTTAAGACTGCAGTAGCCCTTATCTTAGAGAAAATAAAAATACTTTGTACAGCCACAAATACAGTTAAGCTCAAAGTGTATACAAATTTTGCAACCAAAATCTAAGTTAATTGTTTGCTCTGCAGTTGGCAAACGGTACATTCCATAATCATGCCAGAACATGCTGTGCAGGCATTTTCACAAAAATGCACCAAGACTCAACATGCCTTTTAAGGAAAGTCCAGTTGCACACATTTAAGGAGACTGGTTGTATAATGTTCTGTACATCCATTGGATTGAAGGCTGAGCCCTTAAGGGGAACTGCTTGTGTTAGCTTCAAGCATCCTTATGTTTGCATCACATGACTGTTGCATCTGAAGATTCAAAATGTGTTATTGCAAATGGTAAGATTACCTCAGCTGCCACTGTTGCTAAGAAAATTTAATTTTCATTTTAGGGAAATATGAATACTTTAACATTTTGTTATGAATGTACTCTGACCCTGCATATCAGTGCAGAGCTTTAAGGCTTGCAGAAAAGCAGTGTGACTCAAGTTCAACGTTGCAATGTTTGGCTTTGTGTACATTCTTCTGACAGAAAAAAAAAAAACAGGAAATACAAAAACCAACGAAACATTTCATGTGAAACTTTTTCAACCAACTGGCAGCCTTGTTTTTTTGGTACTTCTGTTACTTATAGTTAAGTTGTATACTCAAACTAACAACTTTCATCAACCATTATTTAGTCACAATGGCCCTCACTTATCAAACGTACGTACAGCAGAAAAATGGGTGTACGGTCATTTCCACGCAAAGTTCAGCACTTATCAAGTTTGACGTGAGCGGAGAGTACGCTCAAATCCCACGCCAGGTCTCAGCTTGTGTAGGCACGTTTTCAACTCAGTGTGGACTTGACAGTGCAGCGAATCTGTCTGTGTCGGAGAATAATTAGATCATACTGCAGTGCCTGTTAAGTTTCTTTTTTTACAGTCTATGGTTAAGACAGGCAGATAGAGGCTCACAGATCTACTGCTAGATAAGATATGTCATCTAAAATGTATTTTATATTACGCTCCACCTCAAATGATCTCTGTAGGCTATATTGCTTTTTTAAATGATGTTGAGCAACGCAAGCTGTCAGGTGATTTCATTAGTTGTGTGTTTTATTTTATGGGCACAGGAATATGGCTGCAGAAAATATTGAGACAAATTAAAACAGATAAACTAAAAACAGTTCCAGAGGATATTAAATACAACTTTTTACCTCTGAAATATGAAATATTTAAGGCTACAGAACATTAACATTAGATCATAACTAATGAGATGAGATGAGATGAGATGAGATGAAATTCAACTTTATTGTCATTACACATATACAAGTATAGAGTAACGAAATTAGGTTTGGCATCTCACCAGAAGTGCAAATTAGCAGAAAGTGCAAGAGTCTGTGCTATGTACAGTAATTGAGTGCAAGAGTCTGTGCTATGTACAGTAATTCTGTGCTATGTACAGTAATTGAGTGCAAGAGTCTGTGCTATGTACAGTAATTGCAAAATTTACAGATGTAGACAAAAAAAGTGAATTATGAGGTATATCTGGATGGCTGGATTAATGGGATGCAATAAATATAAATAAATGCTATAAATAAGTAATGTTACAAAATAAGTGTGTTCTTAGGATTATAATATACAGATTAAGATGCAGTGAGCATGCTATACTAATAATATACAGATTAAGATGCAGTGAGCATGCTATACTAATAATATACAGATTAAGATGCAGTGAGCATGTTATACAAGTTTACAGATAATTTAAAGAATATGAACATACTATAATACAATAATACAGATGGATGAGAGATGTGTGTGTGTGACCAGGAGGAGTGATGGGGGGGTGATGGGTATGAGGTGATATGGAGGGGAAAAGGGGGGTCAGCAGGGTGCGGAGAGAGAGAGGGAGAGAGAGAGAGAGACAGAGTTCAGAGTTCGGGGGGTAGAGTTCAGTAGAGAAACAGCTCTGGGGAAAAAGCTGTTCCTCAGTCTGCTGGTTCTGGTCCGGAGGCTTCTGAAGCGCCTGCCGGAGGGCAGGAGGGTAAACAGTCTGTGGGCAGGGTGGGAGGAGTCTTTAAGGATGCCACGAGCTCGCCGCAGACAGCGTGTTCTTTGGACATCCTCAATGGCAGGAAGTGGACACCTTGTGATGCGCTGGGCGGTTTTTACCACCCGCTGTAGCGCCTTACGGTCTGCGACAGAGCAGTTTCCGTACCAGACTGAGACACTGCTGGTCAGGATGCTCTCGATCACACAGCGGTAGAAGTTCATCAGTACAGCTGAAGACAGGTGGTGTCTCTTCAATGTCCTCAGGAAAAAGAGGCGTTGATGAGCCTTCTTAACCAGACTGGAGGTGTTAGTGGACCAGGAGAGGTCCTCTGTGATGTGGGTCCCCAGGAACTTGAAGCTGGAGACACGTTCAACAGCCATCCCGTTGATGTGAATGGGGTTGTGCGTGCTTCCTCTTTCTCTCCTGAAGTCCACGATGATCTCCTTCGTCTTGCTGGTGTTGAGGAGCAGGTTGTTGTCAGCACACCAGGCGGCCAGATGCTGTACCTCCTCCCTGTAGGCCGTGTCATCGTTGTTGCTGATGAGGCCAATCACCGCTGTATCGTCCGCAAACTTGATGATGGTGTTGGATCCATGTACAGGTCTGCAGTCGTGGGTGAAGAGGGAGTAGAGGAATGGGCTCAGCACACAGCCCTGTGGTACGCCTGTGTTGAGTGTGATGGTGGTGGAGCAGGTGTGTCCTGACCTAACATACTGGGGTCTGTTGGTCAGAAAGTCCATTATCCAGTGACGGAGGGAGGAGTTGAAGCCCAGGTCTCCGAGTTTAGTGTTCAACTTGGAGGGGATGACAGAGTTGAATGCTGAGCTAAAATCAACAAACAGCATTCGTGCGTATGTGTTGTTATTGTCCAGATGAGTGAGCACAGAGTGCAGCGCAGTGGAGACTGCATCCTCTGTACTCCTATTGCTGCGGTAGGCAAACTGGAATGGGTCCAGTGTGGGTGGGAGGCAGTTTTTCAGGTGTGCTAGGACCACACCTCAAAAGCACTTCATTATGATGGGTGTGAGTGCCACAGGGCGGTAGTCGTTCAGGCCTGTCGGGCTGGAGTGTTTTGGCACTGGGACAATGGAGGTGGCTTTGAAGCATGCTGGCACAGCTGCTTGGGCGAGGGACAGGTTGAGGATGTCTGTAAAAACCCCAGTGAGCTGCTCCGCACATGCCCTAAGCACGCGCCCGGGGGTGCCGTCTGGACCAGCAGCCTTTCGAGCGTTGATCCGGCTCAGTGCAGCGTGGACGTCTGTGGAGGTGAGTGAGAGGGGCTGGTTGTCTGCAGGAGGTCTGTTCGTGGTCTGTGTCTCTCTGTTGTCTCTATCGAAACGAGCATAAAAGTGATTTAGCTCGTTCAGGAAGGAGACATCTGTGGTTATCGGGGTGGAGTTTCTGGGTTTATAGTCACTGATGGCCTGGATGCCCTGCCACATGCGTCTGGGGTCGGAGTTGGAGAAGTGTTCCTCTACCTTCAGCTTGTAGCAGTGCTTGGCCTTGATGATGCCCCTAATCGGTATGTCCGGAGATTAAAATAATAAATACGCTGATGTGCCACATGCATAATTGTGCACAGCAGACGCACTTAGGCCAGAGACTACATGTGACATAATAACGAATAAAGAAATCCGGGGGGCTCTAAGACGGAGTCAGGACCTTCTTTTATGTAAGTGTTAAATTGTTATGTTTGGAAAGAAGGCTAATCGACCATGCAGGCGCATTTCTTCTGAAGCTCTTTAATCCTACATTTCAGGCTGCCAGACAACACAATGCTATTCCTCTTTACTTTTCTCTGTTATGGTGTCACTTAGGCCATATCTCGTTTCTCTTCTTTGCCATATTAAGTATCTCCTTACCGTTAACGCCGTGAATATATAGGGGCGTGGTATTTAAATGACGATCGTTTCCAGCCGCCACACTTAATCACACCCGGTCATGCGTACGCTGTGATCAGCAAAATATGCACGTTTCATAGGTCCCACGTACTATGATTTCTGCACCCAAATCTGCACTGGTTTCTACACCAGATTGATAAATGAAGGCCAATGTATTAAGAGGAACACGGGCCACTGATGGGATAATTAGTTCCTCAACAACTAGTCATTTTTTTGATGTGCACAAAATGCCTCTAGAATAGAACACCCAAAGACCTCAACCACATCTGTATGATCACTGTATGGACCTGAATGAGGCTGCAAGTGCTCCAAGTAGTGTTTGAGGAATTCAACAGCACTCTGGGAAATCATACAGTCAGTACATTTACATGTGCAGTTAAGTCCAGCAATGGTTACAGCTTGATTAGGCCATCCAATTTGACCAGTATACAAGCACCACAGGAGAATAGTTAGCAAGCTGCAAACTGGTTGTAAGTCGAATGGTGAAAATATGGACAAGTTTACAGCTCTGTATTTTGAACATACTTTACATTTCACTTTTGGTACAATTGTGATGCACGCTATCCCTGTAGCTTATGCTGATATCTAAAGACAGACAACAACATGACTTCTGCTATGCTACCCATTTATTTTGACATGGAGAGAGCAGTTTGTGTGTGTGTGTGTGTGTGTGTATGTGTGAGTCTGAGGGAGCCTCACAACACACACACTTAAGTCCCCTTAACTCCAGGGACCCTTCATTACAAACACATGTTGCTAGATGGTCAAGTGCTGAGAAAAGCCTCAGAATCATGGCAGTCTAGTGAGCACCTTGGCAAACGAAGGCAGCTGCAACACCCAACATTTCTTTCTCACTTTTACTTTCCACCTGCACGGAACAAATCTGTTATTTTAACAACACTTGGCTGCAATCTTCTCTTTGCTTAGACTGAATCCCCCCAGAACCCACAAAACTTGACCTCAAATTCAGTTGAGAATGCACCTGCATTTTTAAAGTTATGCAACAAAACACAATGCCATGTTCCATTGCTTTTTTTGTCTTTTAGTGTATTTCTAACTCTAGAGTTTTTGCTTTTTATATAATAATTTGGTATTTTTTAGAGCAACACTCTTGTTGTTGAATTGTAGCTGAGATAAGAAATATTTCGTAACATTTTAAACAGAACTAACGTCAAGTTTGTCCTTAAGCCCACTGCTGATACTTCATTAGAATGGATCTTGTTGAAAGCTAACAAATGTGTCATCTTCTTTACTACAACTTTGCATATGGTGGTTTCAAATTTCACCATCCAGTATCATGTTTAGCTATGAGAAAATAAATAGAATGGCCGTATGTGGGTTAATGCAATGACATACAAAAGCTTATCAGCTGAGAAGTGTTGCAAGAGTTAAGCTCTCTGTACACACTCTTCTAGTGTCAACATATTGAATATTTTCAAATGTACCACCTTTGGAGCTTTCAGAAAGGATGTGGAAATGAGAAAAATTGCTTCTACTACAGCAGAATGTATCTGTCTACTAGTCAGACTGCCCTTTCTTCTGCTGAGGAGGAGACGAGCAGCAAAGAGAGTGTGGCTTCATTAAATCCTCCGTACACGACAGAATTTGTCTAGGAGCTGCAGCTCTAGAACGACCATTTCACAAGCACAAATCACATTTCTGCCGCTTCCTTATATGCACCTGGTATGCCAAAAATGTTTTAAAAAAAATGTATTTACAAAAAAAGCTTTGTTGTCCATGTCCCAGTAGGTCTTTAAACCGGTATTATAGAGCTCAGGAAAGTGGGACACTATTTGTTGTGTTCTGATTTTCCCTGCCATTGGACATGCTGAGGTTTTGTCTCAAAGTTCTGCGAACAAGTAGGAATTTAGACATAGACAACAAGCTCAGATCTGTGCAGATACACTTGTGACTTGCAAAACTTTGAAACGCCCTTTAATTAGGTTCATAGACCTGAAAAACTGGATCGGATTTGCTGACTCTAATTCTACAATGAACTGTGGATTAGTATTAATTGCTAATTTAATCTTTGCTTCTCTTCAGTCAACAGATCAAAATGAGGAAAAGTGATACGCCTCTGTGTAAGCAGCAGTCTTCACCCTGCTTTGGGAAAGGTGAGTTAATACACTGGTGTTGTTTGAAGATCGTCAACACAGCCATGCACAGTTGCTCTCTCATTTCCATTTCCACCTCACTGGGCATCTGTTGACACTGTTGAGAAGTTACATTTTCTCATGGTTGCCAGGCAAGGATATAAACCGTACAACCATACTATCAAACAGTCACCTAATGCTACAAAACAGGTTTGGCATAACTGTGACAAAAGCCCAGACTAAAAGCTTTGTGAACACTGACTTTGTGCCACATAACAAACCGGTTGTAGGACTTTTGTAATGTCTTGTAAAATGAATCTTTAATAGCCTTAAACAGCTTGTTTATTTTCTTTAATGTAGCCACAACTGATGAGAGAGCATGCATGTTTTTCCTTACATACCTACTCACTGCTGTCGGAGTGATACTCACCCAATCTCAAGGCTTTGCCATTTACATCCAAGCATGAATAAACAACATAAGAATCTCAGCTACTGTAAGCATTTACTTTACACTGCATGAGGATTTCTTTACAGATAAAGGAAAAAAGGTTTCTTCTCGGGAAAATAAGTTAACAAAATTAATTGCCAGCTGTCTACTGTAAACAAACAGAAAATAGCAGCATAAACCATTAAAGGCTAGTTGGACCAAAGAGACTTGTTGGGATTGTTTACTTTTGGGCAATAATGGATTCTTAAGAATTTCAAATACAATCGAGAGCATTGTACAAACTGTTTACGTTCAACTAATGGCCAATTTGCTTTGTAAACAGGAGGCTATATTTAACTGGGTCAGCTGGGAAAATATTTTTTTCCCCCTAATGTATTCCCAGGGATTCAATATTTTCTTAACCATAGTTTTATTCCCTCTCCATTGTCCCATTTCACAGACAGTCACTCACATAAGCAGCCAGTTGTGACATACCAGCTTGAATTAGCAGCCCCTGTTGCCATGATGCTCTCTTAACCCTAAAATAGAGATAGAGAGGGACACTCAAAGCAACGACAACTAGCAGCTGCATTATACATATAGGCACTGACTGGACCACATAAAAAGAAGAGTGAAGCCTGAGCAAGACAGATGCAGTGAAAACCTTGAAGAAAGACACATCGTGAATACAGGAAAGACGGTCTTTACAGGGTCAAGAGGTTCAAGCAACACTTGAGTGTTCTCTGTGACACAACAGAGAGTGGCAGACACATAAGAAAAGTGCAGCCTCAAGTTAGAAGCAAGTCTACAAGAGGCAGAAGCATATATATGAAAGCTGAAATACCTGACTCAACAGGCACAGACTGAAAGAACCAGACATGGCCAAAATCTCAGCAGAAGGTAAGTGACAAATAGAGCTTCCTCTACTTATCATGGAGCTGTGTAGTGACACTGAGGGGCTATGTGATATGATGATAATTACCAGTCAATGAAATGCTTCATTCTGGACTACAGTCTGAGACATTGACGGGCTGAAAGTTGACATACAAATCTATATTAGATTCTTAGATAAGTACACCAACTTTTGGCTAAGTAACTGCTGCAAAAAAAGGATTAATTTACTATAAAAAGTTAGTATCCTGAACTACCGAAGCATTTTTCCTTAAAGTGTGTAGCACATTATTACAATTCTATTGCATACTGTTTATTAAAAGACCCACGCGGCACAACTACACTGCTCTGTGTGGGTCACATTTCTGTAGTTGAGGGGATGTAGGTCAAGGTTATCCTAAAGGCAGCTCAGCTGTTCCAGAGGGGAGAGTTCACACATGGTGAGAAGCTTGCCAGGAATGACACTTTCTGAAATGTGATAGCCAAAGGACAGCCAGAAAGTTCTGCCAATGTAAAAGCAAATGTTGATGGTGTCATCTGCGGGGCGCCTAGATGGCTCAAACTTTTCAAACAGATAGAGTTGCATGTAAACAACTTCCGATGGTGTGTCTGCAAGAGTGATGTTGTGGTCGGCAATGCGTCTTGAGGTTGTTGTTTTTATTTCTAACATAGGTTTTATTTCTGTATTTGGGCAAGTGACCATTAATGTTATTAGTGACAGTGATGACATGGCGGTCAGAATAGCCAGACATCTCCACCACCGATGGGATGTTGGATTGCAACAGTAGCTTTCACACCAGGGGGATTCAACAAGCAGTCAAAGCTATTTAAAAAAAAAGTAAAACAATTCAGCTGACCTTCATCTAGTTTGATCACAGTACAAAGTTAGCACAGAGTATCGAGTCTAGAAAGTTTACCCAAGTTCATATAACAAGTTTGAATCAAGTTCAATTCAATAAACATTACTTGAAAGCGAACAAACTGGATGGCATGCAAATAACTGCACAACCACAGGGGAAAAATCAGGTGAAATTATAGGCAGCATATTAGTACAACAAGGCAGCTTTAACAGCAGACTCGTGGGTAGCAATCATTACAGATATGTAGCCATTAAATACCATTTCCTCTAGAGCTGTGAATATTGGAAATGTCTGCCCAACAGATAAGAAATTCTGATGACCAATGAAAAACAAGTTTGACGTAAAAATGTATGTTGCACTATGTTTCACAACAATGTCACCAGCTGAAAAATAACAAGAGCTAAGGTGCTAGATCTTTCAGTGTTTTCTGTTTTCTCTGTCTGCATACCAGTCTCAGCACTTAATCATAATTCAATTCATAATTCATAATTTCAGGAAAAGTGACCCTTAGTCCCCCAGGGGGTTGAGAGTTCAGACCACCAGTCCAGGACATCAGTGACAGTGATTAACTGTGTTTACTGTAACTTGCCTTGGCTAAACATGTTGTCAGCACTGAAACACAAGTCAGCCACTCAAGACATGTTTACTGGTGAGAGTTACGATGAGGCCTTGAAAACATGCCATGTTCATCTCAGAACCCCCGACACCTTAAATAAATTTATCTTTGGAGGTCTCATGTTTATTTGGCTGGTATTTGTATGTATTGCTACCACTAACATCATGATATTTCTTCTTTAAGTGTTGACACACAGTATTCATCACATTTCTGAGATGAAATAGAGCAAGGCAGCAAGTTTCTCAGATTCCAAGAGAACGATATTGCGTCAGAACTGTAATCACTGTTGTTATAAAGCCATCACATACAACCTCTTGGTAAAGACTTTTTGCATTTCATGAGCAACTAATTCTCTCATGGACAAAATCACTCCACAATATCACAAGTTAAAAGTGAGTTTCCAACCTTACATTTAATTGTGAGTGGTAGACCAGCAGGAACATTTACATTGAAACTGTAAGGATAGGACTTACTTATTACTGCCATTTAGTGAACCCCAGCACCCTTTGTAACTCAGCAGAAACTGGAGCTCTCTGTATATGAATGCATTCACTACAACTCAAATCTTTCTCAACTCCCTCAGAAATGCCACGGCTATTCCCAAAAATGTCTATGTGTGATGTGGATGAGAGGGTCCGACTGATGGCAGAGAAGGTGTATGCCTCTGCCCTGAAAGAGGAAGACAGTAAGGATGTTATGGCAATGTTTAACGTGCCCGAAGACTGTCCCATCGGACTGCATGAGGACAGGGAGAGGGCCCTGAAGAAGGAGCTGGCAGAGCAGCAGTCCCAGGAGTCTACAAAGAGGTATGAGATGCATATATTGGCTCAAATAAGCAGCAATATTCCAGCGTTTTTAACAGGAGCTTAAACAGGAACGAGCTTGGAGATTGTTAGGAGAGTTATGCTTGTCATCTGTTTTGTGTCACTAGGAAGAAGAATTTCATGTTGAAGCGCTCGCAGTCGGTATCTTTGCAGATACCTGTTCCTGGGGACTGGGCCAAGTCTATGGGGTCTACAATGTTCTCCCAAACCATAACTGACTCTTCTCTACCAGAAGGCTCTCCAGATTTCCAGAGAGTAACCATCAGTGGAGATTACTGTGCGGGGGTAACAGAACAGATAATTCACTTCAGCGTATCATATTTTCATTTTACTTTAAAAAGGGACATTTTACTTCAGACATAATTGGAATACAGTGTTGGTGAAGAGAATTGAAAAAGTAAAGAATGTTTTTTTTCTTATTTCAGATCACAGTTGAGGATTATGAGCAGGCAGCCCAAAGTCTCCTTGGGGCGATGTTCATCAGAGAAAAATACTCCAGGTTGGCCTACCATCGCTTCCCTAAGACCATCGCACAGTTTCTCCGTAGTGCAAAGAATGAGACATGGCAGGAGGAGGATGAAATCTTGCCAGGTAGGTACACTGAGAGAACTTTCTCTCTCCTCAGTGAACAAACTTGAAAGAGCGAATACTACTGCAATTTTATATCTTGAAATTACTCGTTTGCTCAAAGGAGTTGGATGTTGGAGTTTTAAATGCTATTCTTTTTCCCATAAACAATGTTACTTGATAAACAACTCCTGATGAAAATATCAGAGCAAGATATGTAGGTGAATTTAGCAAAGAACCTCCAACCTCCACACTTTAAATCATGCAGCTCCACCATCAATGGCTATTTGGTGGATTACTAGAATCAGGGATGTCAATCCCTGGAGCTTGCATGAATAAACAGAGCCTGGTTCTGATGGGGTTACCGATGTTATTTGCGTTGCAGAGTACGTAGTATGGGCATTGTATTGCTCTGTTTGTAACTAGGATGTGCTCTGATTTGCACTTGCTACCTACCTCTACTGCATAGCTAGTTTGTAATGTAGTTTCAGAAACACCTGCCATGACAAAATGACAAAAAGGGGAAAAACACAAATAAACTGGTGGCCACTACATAACCCTGTAGAATGACACCGTCATCATTTTGTCAAGCAGCACTAATCTACATTAGGATGCATACAGATAATAAAGTTGATGCAAGGACAATAAACCTAAATGGTTATTAGTTTTTCCAAGCAACAAAGACCTCTCTGCATGTGTTTCTAAGTGAGTGTGGAGAGTGTAACCAAGGCCATTGAGTCAACTCCTGGCTACAGACCAGAGAAGCATGTAGAAGTTTTTTTTTTTTTACCTGAGTGCAACATAGCTAACAACAATGAGAAAGAAGATGTACTACTACTGATTCATAAAAAGTATCCCAACTTCACAATACATGGATAAGACCAATATGTAATGGTTATCTGTCCATACTGACAAGCAACAAAACCTACAAAATACCCATGACTATGATCATTCAATGTTTTTTTTTATGCACCCCCATCATCTGTAGACATCTGGCCCTGTCCTTGTGAAGGGGAGGACCCTTACTCCGTGGAGGGTATTCCAGAGAACCTGAACTACGAGCTGCAGATGAAGGATGGCATAGTTCATGTTTACGACAACGCTGAGACCCTGAAACAAGAGCAGCCCCACAGACTACCTTACCCTGACCTTGAGACCTTTGCCATAGACCTAAGCCATGTCCTTGCAATGATAGCTGACGGCCCAACGTAAGTACACAAACATTTTGAATGCTTTCAGCTTCAGCCAGGATGGATATTTTACACTATTTTTTAATCACTTTTTTTCAAAAAATAAGCCAACATGGTGGTGCTGAAAAATACATTTTTGTGTTTCCCTGCAGTAAGACCTACTGTCACAGGCGGCTGAACTTCTTGGCCTCTAAATTCTACCTTCATGAGATGATGAATGAAATGGCAGAGTTAAAGGAGCTGAAATTAGTTCCACACAGAGACTTCTACAACGTCAGAAAGGTTGGTTGTTATTTTTCGATCTTGTTCAGTGTGCAAACAATTTACAACTCTTAGAACAAACTTTTTATGTAATACAATTATTCTGGCCAACACTTCCTCAGCTAGAGCCCTTCTGCTTTAATGAGATTTATTTTTAGTTTCAGTGCCCCCAGTCTAAATAAACTTGATTTTATGGATGTTTTGTAACATGTGCAATAAAGTCATGCACATTGTCACTGTTTGCTTTATGTCAATCACAGGTGGACACACACATACACGCTGCAGCATGCATGAACCAGAAGCATCTGCTGAAATTCATAAAAACCACTTACCAGACAGAGGCTGATCGTGTGATCTCGGAGAAGGGCGGTAAGAAGCTCACGCTCAAAGAGGTCTTCGACAACCTTCACATGGACCCCTATGACCTCACCGTGGACTCTCTGGATGTGCATGCTGTAAGAACCAAAACTTGAATGAATGAGTCCAAGATCATTTCTGCCAGAGTGTAGACATCAGGTTTACATTGTGTAATATATCCAAAAAGACAATGTCCCAGATGCAAATATATCAGATCATATCGCCTGCCAAGAATTAATTTGTCATTTTTCAAATAGCTACAGCTCATTTCACTAACCTGTCCTTGTTGACACAAGGATGCAATTATTGGTGTTCATGCATTTCATATGGTGTTACGCAATCTTTCTATGTTTCATGCAAGGTCCTCTAATGTGTAATCTGAAAATAATCAATATAGTCACTTTGTTGGAATGAGGATGTGCTCATCAGTACATCAGATTCACTCCCTCTCACGAATTTCTCTCCTAGGGAAGACAAACATTTCATCGGTTTGACAAGTTTAACTCCAAATACAATCCCGTGGGAGCCAGTGAGCTGCGAGAGATCTACTTGAAAACCGACAACTACATCAAAGGAGAATACTTTGCACGTCTCGTAAAGGTGAAGTATTACCTCAAGCACTAATACCACTGGAAGGCCCTGCAAAACTTTTATTTTTATTATTCTAGTTTGATTTCTGCTTATCTTGATATTGAAATTATGAGAGATAATCTAATAAAACAGATAAGGAGGGTCAGGTAGACATCAATGAATTACAGTCTATGAATGAAATCATCTTTTTTTTAACTAAAACATCATCTGACACGTTAACTGAAGGAAAAACATTTGCATGAAATAAATATATAAATGGAAGACAACCTGTTATGAATAACTCGGCATGGAAAGAGCTATTGTGCTTTTCCTTTCAAAATGTTTATTTTGAAAAAGTTTTCTAGGAAAAATATGGGAACACACGTTAGGCTGAACAACGTGTACCAAAGTTACATTCAATTTTCATTCAAACACTTTTTCATTCCTCTACTTTATCGCTTTTTAAAATATTTCTTCTAAGTTGAAGTTCTCTCTCTTTCACAGAAGTATAGTTTTGTGCATATTTTTTATCTTCAGTGAAGTTTTTTAAGATGTCTTAAAGACATCAGTCATCTCTCATAATATGTTTTTGATGGGATGCAGATGCATTGCACCCACTGGTGGTGGACTTATTTTTATTTAACCTTTATTTAACCAGGTAAATAACCCATTGAGATCAGGATCTCTTTCACAAGGGTGACCTGGCCAAGAGGGCAGCAGCACACGTCAATAAAAAAGCATTACATGATAAAGAGACAGTTTACAAACAATAAGTTAAGAGAGAACAACAATTTACAAGTAAAAAATGTAGCAAAAGCACCCTAAATAAGTTTTGTTTTTGTCTCTGATGTCTCTCAGGTTCTGTGCTGTGCCCTTTGTGATGTTACAGAATTATCCCTTATATGTCCCGTGAACAATTACAAAAGGTAATTTCTGATGTATCAACAAACATCACTAACTTCCTGTGGCTTTAACATCTGTTTCAGGAAGTTTCCAAAGACCTGGAGGAGAGTAAGTACCAGCATGCTGAGCCACGTCTATCCATTTACGGCCGCTCTGCCAGTGAGTGGGAGAGCCTAGCAACTTGGTTCATCCAGCACAAAGTCCACTCACCCAACATGAGATGGATGATCCAAGTTCCAAGGATCTAGTAAGTGCTCATTGAAAGCAAACCCAAACTATTGTGACAGCAGGAAGATAAATACATGAAACAGGCCCGGAACTGTATTATATGTGCTACAGCTCTTCTAAACCACAGGATGACCGTCCTAGACTTTCACCACCATAACGGAAACCGTGCTTATTTTCATTGGTGTATTATTCACTTTTATTATAAAGGTTGCTGATAAAATAACCGCTCCTTTTATTTTATTGTTTCCTATTTTTAACAGAGAGTGAAATTATCCAGGTCGCTTTTTAGGATCAGCATGGTCACAAAGAAATCCTGAACAGAGCAATTTTAATGTCAGTGTTGTCAAATCTTTGTCTCTAAACCTGTAAGCTCACAGGTATTTGAAGTAGCTAAACGGGTCACTATTGGATATCTGTATCTCTTAAACACAAGCTGAAATGTCCGTGTTGTTGTAAGACAAGTTGATTTGATTCCTTTTGTCTTGCAGTGACATTTTCAGGTCAAAGAAATTAGTGCCAAACTTTGCAAAGATGCTGGAGAACGTCTTCCTCCCACTCTTCGAGGCTACGGTCAACCCACAAAAGCACAAAGCAATACATGTTTTCCTGAAATATGTAAGTATTTTAAATAAAGGATGGAACTGGTGACTGACAGGAAAGGTTTTTACGTAAATCTGCAGCTTTATCAAGTGACACATGCTGACAGTGCTATGGTAACAGACTGAGTCGAGACAGTTAACATGCATGGTTAAGTACAATATTTGTTTTGCAAATGTTCCGCTGTTATCTTTGTTATCTTGTAGGTAACAGGGTTTGACAGCGTGGATGATGAGTCCAAACACAGCGACCACATTTTCACTTACAAAAGCCCAAAGCCAGAAGGTTGGACAACAGATGACAACCCTCCATACACCTACTATCTGTTCTACATGTATGCCAACATCATGGTGCTCAACAACCTGCGCAAGTAAGTGCTGCACGTTTGGCCAAGCAACAAGAATCTAGGCTGTTTTTCAAACATTGGATCCCTTGACAAGAGTCAAGAGTCACATTCATTTCTAGGTACAATAAAGTATTGATGTTAAAATATGCATAGATGCCAGAATTATTTAAATCTTTAGGGATTTCAGGCACACATGGGTAGGCCATGCTTTTAATTTTTGATTAACCTAGACGGCATGCAAGTACTGACACATGTGCAAAAGATTTAAGCAAAGGGGAAACAAATAGTGTTTGGTTGAAAAGCAATCATGGCAATTTGAAATATCATTTTTTATTTGATAAACCTGAGGTCAGCCTCTGATACCTTAATCCGGCAGCACAGACAGAGTATAAGGGTAATGTTGTTGCACCCTTGTTGTTATGTGTACGGTGAGGGGAAAAAAACCTAATATGAGACATATGTGAAAGTGTCAATTATATTGCATCATTTACTGAGGTCTACTAAGTATTAAAAGCATTTTTAGAAACTTCTTTAAACTTGCATAGCTGAAATGAATTGCTCTTTAAAAAATATCTTCTATTTTAAACTCATAGAAATGATGATTCATTGTTTGTCCCCAGGGAGCGAGGACTGAACACGTTCCAATTTCGCCCACACTGTGGGGAGGCTGGCTCCATCACCCACCTGGTCTCTGCCTTCCTAACAGCTGACAACATCTCCCATGGACTCAACCTCAAAAAGGTGCAGTCCTGCATTCATCTATGAGGGCTTACCACTTAAGCGCTTGCTATTGCAAATAACTCAGTGTGCTAAAAATGATATGCTAATATATGATGGTAGATACTGTATTTGTACCAATCAAACAATGATCTTTGGCATGTTCAGTCGTTGCCAAAAACAACGAAACAACGAGTGCAAGATGCAGAAGAAAAACCCCTAAACCCAGTATATAACTGGACATAGGATCTCATCATAAAAGGCTTTAAATATTTAAATGAGAAATTTTCAGAGCTTGGAAATGGATGTGAAACTGAACTTCGATTTTGAACGTGTCACTTCTGTGTCCATCCCAAAGAACTAACACTTTCAGTTTTATAGACATTAATATCTATAAATGTGCATCAATCCTTGACCCTCCGAGTGATTATTTATTATATATACTTTTTGTACCTCTACCATCTCCTCAGAGTCCAGTGCTGCAGTACCTGTACTACCTTGCCCAGGTCCCTATCGCCATGTCCCCACTGAGCAACAACAGCCTGTTCCTGGAGTACTCCAAGAACCCTCTACGAGAGTTTCTACAGAAGGGCCTTTGTGTGTCGCTGTCAACTGATGACCCCATGCAGTTCCACTACACCAAGGTCAGGATCACAGGAGAAAGTGTGGATCATATACTAATTGTAACAATCCTCAATCCTCAGTTTTTAAACACACTATCGTTACTCAGAACTGACTATGATATATGGCAAGGCAGTTTAGCCTTATCTCACTTTAAAACAAAATGTGTTTTACACCATATCCTGAAGTGTAAAGATCCCCCTGAACAATTGATCTCAAATGTTCCTCTGAACCCTTTCAGGAGGCCTTGATGGAGGAGTACGCTATTGCTGCCCAGCTGTGGAAGTTGAGCACCTGTGACTTGTGTGAGATAGCCAGAAACAGTGTACTGCAGAGCGGACTTTCACATCAGGTACCAAATATCCCACTATTTTGAACAAATAATGTAATGACGACATAACATGTTGGCAATTTTACAGTTTTACAGGAAAGCTTGTAGTTCATATCAATACTGTAAACAAATTAAATAGTAAAATTATTCAGTCACAACCTGTGCTGAAAATAGTGCTGGTCGGACCAGATGTCCACACTCATAATTCAGTACTCAATTTATCAGCCAAATCCCATGTTGAGGTAACTAAAAAATGTTTGTCTACTCTGGAGAAATAGGAATGCCATATATTTATGATATATGTTTTAAATTTTGCATAAGCTGCCCTACATCTATTGTTCCTCATTTGCCCCTAGGAGAAGAAACACTTCATTGGATCCAACTACCTACAAGGTGGACCGGAAGGCAACGACATTCGACGGACGAACGTGGCACAAATCCGCATGGCATACCGGCATGAGACACTGTGCAACGAGCTCAGTTTTCTAGTGGATGCAGTAAAGGCGGATGTTGGAACCAGTCCAACTGAATGATTGACCAAGGCAGCTCAAATTGTGCCCTATGATGTTCTATGATGAAGGTGCAAATGGATTGTACTAAAATGACACCCAGATGGGAACAAACGTTCACTCCCTTGGTGCAGAAATCGGTTACGGCCTACTTAATGTAGATAGATCAATACTTGATTTTTAAACTGTGTTCAATGCTGTCTCTTTAAAATGTTCAAATCACTGTGTGCCTCGTTTAACTGAGCTTTTGATTGATTCGTTTTTGTAGGATGTTAAGTTAAGGTTGGTACTGCTTGTTGAACTTTTTCTGTCACTTGGATATATGCATGCTACAGAGGCATTCTATCTTGAATGTAGGTCTAAAACTAGTAGTTCATAGATGCACCGATTGGAATTTCTTTGCAATTTTTACCTGGGGTGACCTGCCTATACCGATTTTTGTCAGGTACTGATTTTCTTTTTTTAAAGGACTATAATTAACAGCAAAACAAAAAGATTTTTGTAACTTTTTTGTAATTAAATGTTACATTTATGTGCATTATAAAACACTGACTGTGAACTGTTTATTACAAGAAAATCCTAAAACTGCAGGATACATGAATAGCTCTCATTCTCTCCCAAACTGAGTGAGAATCAGTGTACTTCTTGTGATGAAAGATACAACAGAAAACTCAAAGTACTTGGTCTTCTTCGATTCCCTGATTTTTTTTTTACATTTTAAAAATCCAAAACAAAAAACGCCAACGAGAATTTACATTTTTAGACACTTCAAATCCATTATTACCCCTTTACCTTTTCTAAAGATTATTTCCTTTTTAATAGAGAAACCCTTTATGACCTGTATTCTCCTCTATTTGTTTGCAATTATTTATGGTGGAAGTGTCTTTATATACGTAAAGGAAAACAAAACAAAGATGTATTCAATTATATTAGAAAATAAAACACATTCTCTGTTTAACATTTTCACATACTGGAAATATTGAAACAGCCTTTAAGGTATTTAATCAAACGCATGATAAATCAAATTATAGAAACAGTGAACATTGCTGCTTCACTCTTCGGCTGAATTTTCCCTGACTCCGGAAGAAATTACAGACTCTTACCTGTCTGCCTCTGTGGTTGCAAAAGAAAATGTCATCATGGGAAGCGCAATGGAGATATAGGTGAGTCTGGAGCGAGTCCATGGAATCGCTGTGTTTGTCCTCCTGGATGTCAAACATTTTCTCCTCTGCTGATGGGAAACTTTTGTCAATACTGCCAACATGTTAGCCTGATGTGTGGCCGTCCGTTAATGTTTGTGTCACTGTGCACGCAAAACATTGAAACAGCTCGTTTGGGCCAGTCTGAGATCGGCATCAAATTGGCTGTAACTGTGAGGACTGGGCGGTCACAGTCAGGGCCGAGCAGTCTGAAAATCAGCAGATTCTGGTCACATGTCGATCTAATAGTGCACCTTTAGAAATTAATAAATAATACTTAATCTTGTAAAGACTTCAATATATTTTTTGAAGGTTTCTGTCTCATCTCGGAAAACATTTTTCTCGGTCTTGGTCTCAGAATGAGCAGAACCCGGAATAGACAGATCAAGACCACCACTGAAAAGCTATTTTTTCCCAAGTCATTACTGTGATTAGTAGGAAAAATCCTCTTTCTAAAAGAACAAATACTTTTGACATACAAGAGGATAATTAAACAGTCTGTTTTCCAAACTGAAAGTGAGAAACATATGCAGACAGGTAAAGTGATCATTTCTTTAGGAGTCAGGGAGAGTTAAGCAGTAAACTGCACTGGTTATATCATTTGATTTTAAAGGCTTTATATGCAATTTTTCACACTTACGGTAAAAACAATAGAAATCAAGTATATCCTCTGAAAATTACTCTGTCAGTAATGACTGTTTACAATGGGTGTGACACCCGAGTCCCACTATCTGTGATGTTTTCCGAGTTTTCCCATATTTTCTGTTTGTTGACATCGCTGGGACGGCCGGCTGACTCCTCCCCTTGCGAATAAAAGTTGTTTAATTGAGGGACTAGAGTAAAGAAGAATAACATACTGTACTCACTGCTTAACTGTGTTTCTAGATCACGGTCATTTCGGGTAAATTTACATGCAGTGTACATGCATATGCTAATCGGTAGCTAACGCAATAGCTTCATTGCATTGTTTATGTATATGTATAAGTGTGGAAACTGCAGCTAAATGCTTACTGAAGCAAACACCGTGTGCTGCAGAATACCATGATAACTTACAACAAGAACATAGCAACAGTAACACACACCTTATGTTTGTATCAAGTCTTTTTATCAGAAAAACACTCACTGTTATTATGTTGAAAAATACGTTAGCCTCTTCCAATTTCACTGACTGGTGCTACCAGCATATTTCCCCAATCCAAAAATATATATCTTACTCGTGGCTTCACAAAGTTTGGCTTGATTACAATATGATTATTGGCGACAAATGTGTTCTGTACAATACATTTTTATTGTATTTCCATTAGTACTGTACGTTGTTTATTGCAGCGACTCACCTTGTTCTGCATTGTAAATCACGTCCTTGATGTGATTAAAAATTCAATGAGCAATTGTAAGTATCAATGACATCATAGACTGTTAGTTACTTTTACTACAAAAGCCCAGGTGATAATCACGTGTTTGTTGGATCAATATCTCATGCAATAATGTTGGTTGTTGCTTTATCACGTTCAGCATGTTCGTTGTTGTGCATCACAGACAGCAACAAGCTACAACACAAAAAGCTGAAATCAGCAATCATGTAATGAAATCAAATTTTTCTGATATTCTTGCTCAGATTTCAGCAGTTGGACAATTTTCTAGGTGTGTGTGCGTGCCTTTGCTTGTCCCCCAGGCCAACTGTGTGTGGACTGATGACCCTTTTGGAGGTAGGTATGTCTGTGTGGCCTCTGAGACTTGTGGGGAGTCTGTCTGCCACCCAATCTCATCATTGATATATATTGATTTATATATATATATATATATATATATATATATATATATATATATATATATATATATATATATATATATGTATATGTATATATGTATATGTATATATAAAAGTTGCACCGTTCAAGCTTCTCACACCAATAAACAAATGCAAAGTAACAAAACCGTTTTATGCAGAAGTGGAGACAGCAGTGTAGAGAGAGGTTAACCACAATAATGTCAGCTGTTTGCAGAGTCCAGTAGTGCTCTGAGTCCGTAAAAAGCTGATCTGGACGCCTAAAACACTACTTACATGTCTGAGGGTGGTTAACACTGCCATACCTGTTACTGCTTGAGGTGAAAGTTGATAAATAGTTTAGTACTACTCTAATTTAGAAAAAATAGCATTACTTACCATGTTAGCCGAGGCTTACAGTTCAGCTACAGACAGCCTTCACAGAACTAATGCATCCGTAGCAGCTCAAAAGTTGTTTTCAAACAAATAAAAAAGACAATTAATGAAGCATACTTACATGTTGTGGTTGTGAACTTCCAGAAGCATCAGAATCTCCATAGCTGCCACAGAGAGTAGGAGCTGAAACTTCTTTCCAAGGGCGTGCAACATGAGCTGCAGGGCTTGACACAACGAGCCAATGGGCTTAGATCAGTGATCTCACACTGACAAGACGTCACACTGGCAAATTTTTATGGAGGGGGGCTAGAACTGAGCGTTACATGCGGCTAATGCTACAGCTAACAGGAGGACGTATTAGAAGCCGCGTTTATGCAGACTTTGAATTTTTGCAAATAGATGTGCCTAAACATGCACAGGATACATGGAAAACACACTAAAGAGCATATAAAACCAGAAAAAGCATAATATGACACCTTTAAGAAGAAGCGATAACATTCGTAATGGATTGTGGGATGGGTAGTTTCTTGACTCCGGAAAGATTATGTATAGTCTTGTTCTATTGCATTTTCCTCCGTTCTCCAATCGCTTTTTTTGGGCAGCATTAAATGTTTTATAGGCAGAAGTACTTGGGTAGCTGGTTGGCTTGGTTCCAGACTTCAATTTCTTGATATTAGTATTTAAGGAAATATCAACTGAGGATTTGAGTGGGGAAATTTACTTTCGGAACCAGAGCCGCCGAAACGTTGGGTTGTGAGCGGTTTGTTAGCAATTAGGTTAACCCGAAACTTAAACAGTTGTGCTGCCTGAGAAGCTTAAACTCGCCACATTCACGAATTTTATATTCATAAACGTCAGGATAGAAAAATTTACGAACCCACTGTAAGGTGGACGTATGAGAGGAAAACGTTGACCGCTTTGGGTTAAACTCACGTGCTTCGCAGCTGGCGCGTGCAGCATGGTTGCTATAGGTTGATTGAGGGACCTTCAATAAAATACAGTTTTAATGAAACGATAAAAAAAGGTTTGTGGTCAGTAAATTCAGGTTGAACAGGCAATAAAGCGAAAACAATGTTCTCACAATTATGTTTGTAATTGGTTTCATGTCAAATACTTGTTCGGACTGTTGATGTATTATTCTTTGAATTAATAAATAGATTTATTTTTAAAAATAGACTATTGCTTCTTTTTTTTCCAGAAGCCAACATCATGAGATGACAGATCAGAAAAAGCATTACAGAAAGATAAATCATTTAAATCTTTACACACACACAAACAATATGACATAAGGCTTTAAGCAACACTAGAAAAATGAACTACACTTTTCTATGTTAATTTAGGATATGTGTTCTATTATAATTTGAAACAAAATCCAGATATTTATCAGATTTTTACACTTTGTTATTGTTACGGTTGAATTGTGGATAATCTCTATCAATTATTTTTATTATTATTGTGTTCTTTGATATTATATGCTTTGGCAATATTGCCACATTAATGTTAATAAAGCTTTCTGAATTAATTTTGAGAATAAAAATTGAATAAAATAATGATAGGCAAAAAATATTCTGTCATGCAATTTTAATAGTTGATAATAAAGTGGGGGAAAAAATTGAATTAGTGAGGATTAAGTTGAAAAACAATTTCGTGAAATTTCTACCTTATTCTCGATTTTGTATTTCAATTTGATCACCAACATTTCAACTATTTTCTGTAATATTTACTTTGCATTTGGAAATTATATGCATAAATGGATTTTAATGACCAGTAATACATCTCCAACATACACAAAGTCATAAAGTGCAAAAAGTTTATTAAGGACAATACAGTATGATTCAGATAATTTCATTTTCAATACAATTTCTTCTATTCAGCAGATTTACAAACAGTATGTGTCCATGTAGGATCAGATATAAAGATAATTAAGTCATCTTACGTTTCCTTGTTTGGTTTGATATTTAAATTTCCAACATTGTTTGCTTAATTTTGCATGAACAACACAGCCAAAGACCAGACTCTGTCTCTGATCCTCCTCCTTCATTTGTCCTGCTTCATCTAAACTGCTGTAAACATTTTAGTGACATATAATAATGTCTTCAAATTGAGAAAATAAAATCATCTGTTGCTGTAGCGCTCAGACACCAAGAAAACTACGGTGAAGTTTCAAACTGTTGTCCGTCAGCATCGACAACCAAAAGTTTCTTTTGGTCAACTTAAGTTTCATTCAGTTTTAGAAATAAACAGAAATAATATATCTGTTAAAGAAATAAGAAGCTCTAGAATGAAAAGACCAACATAACTTTAGACATCTCGAGTATTTGTCGAGTGTCTCTCTCTCCTCCTTGACTGACAAATAATGCTACATTGGAAATCCATAACAACGTAAAATAATAGTTCGATAGGAATTTATCACTCAAATAAATGATTTATCATCACAAATCACCTCGTCCTTTTATAAGTGTGATCTGAAGGTTTTCAATGCTTATCAAAATAAAACTTTGTGGTTTTAAATTCTACAAGAGTCCACTTGTAAATGAAACCGCCTGTCCCATTAAATCTTTAATATTTCAATTTAGGCAAGTTCAGAGCAAAACAAAGACAAATATGGTTGTTTTGTGAACGTCAACTCTACAGCAATTAGGTAAGAATAAGTTCTGGTAAATTAAAAAAATATATATATACACACAAAATAAAAGGATAACAGCAGTATAGTTGACAAATAGTGGTTATTTCCAACAGTGAAGAAGACACAACAGCAACAGCAAGCCAAGTCATTTAAATCATATCAAACTAAATATACCAGTACATGAGAAAGAGTATCAGTCACTGTGTCGGGTTCTGAAGGGGATCAGAACATCAGTTCATCTCTGCATGGCTCGTAAGGCATGTCATGTAAGATATAAACATGCAGAACGTCAGGACAGCTTTACTTCAGGAAAGTTAATCAGGTTCAAAGGTTGAACAGAAACTTTGCGTGTAGGATTAAACACTTTCTGTCTGTTAATAGACATGGCTACGGTCAGCAGGTTGTTAGCTTAGCTTAGCACAAATACTGGAAACAGAGGGAAACAGCTAGCCTTGCCCTATCTAAACATAACAACATACATCCACCAGCACCTTTAAAGCTTAGTAAGTCATTAAGGTAGTCATTTAATTGACTGGTGCTGACAGGATGTTGTTGTTGTTCAAGCTCCTGTGAGGAGTTCTTATCTGGTAATGACAGACTGAAATTTATGCCGATGCCTCTTCATGACCTAGAAAAACCAAAGAGACCATTAGTAAAAAAGGGTTTCTTGACTCATTTCTCATGCTTGAGAAGCATGTACAGGACAAATTCAGAAAGCGATAAGAGCTACCACTTTGTCCACAAGGGGGCGCCAACTTCATCATAGACCAAAAGTTCCTCACAGGAGCTTTAGGACAAAACCGGGTTAACTACTTCTAGACTTAGTGCTTAGCTATGCAAACAGTCTGCTGACCTGCCTGAGCTTAAGTCCCCGTCGTATGAGCATAAAAGGAAACTACAACTTGGATCAGAATTCCTACGATAAAGTGGCAGCTAAAGTAAAGTAGTAAAGTAAAGTAACCAGAGAATTCCTAGAAATCCTGTACTTTTGGTTCTTCTGTGTGTTAAATCAATAGGTTATTATTTATCTTAACACATTACACACTACAGTACTCGGGTTACAAAGACGATCCTGGGATATTTTTGTTATTTAAAAGAGATAACATTTCATTTTCTGATCCTGTCACTAAAAAGCTTAAGAAGCTAGAAACACAGCAAGGTTCCTCTGCCCTTGTCAGCTTTCCAGGAAAACACTAACACAATCTCCTCTACAGTGAAAAGTGAAATTTTGCGTTTCAACAGGTACAGTCTACTTGGTGTGGTTCAATTTCCCTTGTTTTTTTAACTTGCTCAGTGTGTTGTGTGTTAAGGCCTGTGTGGGTGGCCCGCCTCGTCCGCCAAGTTGAGGATATATCCAGCCATGTCGTCCTCTGTGGGGAAATCAGGCATTACCCACGATTCATTGGCAGCGGTAACTTGCAGGCGACATATTGGACAGTTGCGGCACTGCCCGCTCCTGCAAAGATGTGAATGAGAGTGTGAAATAATAACCGTTGTTGTCCAAACTATTAGAGACTTTAACTTTTCAATGACAACTTTAAAGAAAAATGATTTGAAGCTCGATGTATCACCTTACCATTTATCGATGCACTTCTGACAGAAGCTATGTGCGCAGGGCAGAATAAGGTCGGCGTTTCCATCCATGCAGATGCAGCACTCCTCCTTATCAGTCAGCTGCTTCACTCTGAATGCGCCCACAGACAGGAAAGAGATACCGTTTTAATTATTTTCTAAAGGAGGAAGGTACTGCTTACTTTCAAAAACTCTATTTAAAATGAAATGCCTGAAGAGTGATGCATTTCGAGGAGCTCATAATTAAAGTATTAAAATATCTGCCTGATAGCATGCTATAAAAATGCATGAAAAATGAAAAATGATCCTCTCAGTCAGCCCTAGTTCCCCCCATGATTGGAGATGATCCAAGGGGATAAACCGTCATCCTAGTGCAAAATCAGTTGTAAAATCCATTCCTTTAAGCAGCCTGCAGGTCATTAGAGAAAAACTTTTCTAACTTTTTTATTGCTCACAACTGAATCCAACAGCTACATGTATTAAAGGTCACACATTATGCAAAATACACTGTCTAAAAATCCCCCAATTATGAGAAAAGTCCATCCTCTCCGTCTTCTGCCATCTGACATCACAAAGGGCAGTAACCCCTCCCCCTGGTGGGTGACACTCCCACAGCTAGGTGTTTGTTCTGCCCTGAGTCTGCCTTCTCACCATAAACAATAGGACATGGAGCGAGAAAGCCCGAGACACCAAAGCACCTTCCAGAGAGGGGGCGTGGTCACAGCTCATTTACATTTAAAGGCACAGACACAGCCTGTTCTGAGCAGGGCTGAAATATGATCAAATACAGGATCAGAGTGGATTTAGAAAAAGAAACGTCAGACATGTTTTGGGGAGCTCTGAGACTTATTTAAAGTGGTTGAAAAGGAGGGTAATATGTGACCTTTAATATTAGTGTTCATCTATTATCGTTATTATAAATGTTGATATGAATGTTAGTGTGTGTGAATGTTTTTTTACACAGATTAATCTACAGACCTTTGTGTAAACGATCAAGTGGTTTATCATTATTATGCAATTGAATATGTGCAAATCCAATTTTGACAACCTCAGACCAGACAGAGCCTCACTATGAGCTCTTTGGTTGAACCTAGGTTGGGACCCAATGACCTAAAGCATGCACTCAATGTAAAATGTTAAAACTAAACAAACCGTTAATTCCCTATTAAGACATTAAAGTAAAAAAAAAAAAAAGATGCTTTAAAGTAAATGCTGTAAAAATTGTGGAAACTTTTTTATGTGCACCCACCTGCCCATCCACATGCTGGCCTGGCAGGAATCTGTGGAGGGGAGCTGGGCAGAGGGGCCCTCGGTGGCACCCTCTGCAGACAGCACCTCAGCAGCCTGGCTGGTGACATCACGGTACAGCTGGATAAACTGGTACAGGTTCATGATGCGTGATGCTTCCACCATACCATTCTCTTTGTTGATCTGACAGGAGGCAAAGGCAACAGCATGACTCATCTGGTAGTCAATTTTATATGGAGCATCACCTGTAAGTTTGTTTGTTTTTTTGGTTTCAAACTAATTAAAATGCAGATTGACTACAAAAGAGTGCAAGAGGAATAATACAAAAATAAAAAATAAACAGTTTCTGCCTGCAATAACTTCCAATTTGCCTTTTGTGCCATAAAAATAGTGACTCACAATTCTGACTCCCCCCTTACAGATAGAAAGTACAAGACAGAGCTTCTTATCTTCACACAAAACTGTAAGGCTTCAGGCTTCGGCCACATTCTTAGCTGACGTGTGCACACACATGCTAGGTTTATTTCTGTATTTCCTTGTACAGCCTCTCAGATAGCACACAAGAGAGAGATAGCTTGAGCAATAAAAAGATAAACTAGAGGAACAATCATGTCACTGAAACTGGATAAAATGAACAAAGTCAATAGCTCGTAAAAAACCTGAAATATTGGGGCGGACAGATGTGAAAAAACTGGAATGGCTGTTTAAGTTTGATGTGTTTAAGCTTGCTAATTTGCTTCAAACAGGATATTCTGTTTAATTAGTTTGACTTGCTTTTGCTTTCTCTTTTTGTTTCGTGACAGTGAATATAGTTTACCTAGTGCAGTCTGATCCTGGAATGTTTTAACTTACGGTGTCATGTAAGCCCATGCGGGCTGAGCATATAAATGTATGTATGACACAATACTAAAACAAAAACTTCAAACTTCATAAAAAATGAAAATGGTTAGTTTCACTGTGTCTTTTTCTCTCACCCTCTCTCATAAGAAGACAGTGTGTAAAGATGCTCTTGTCAGTATGTGCTTTGTGTGCTAGTTTCTCTGCTCTCACCTTGGTACAGAGGACCCTGACAGCCACTTTCCACAGGGCTGTGGCATCGGATCCTGGCTGCACCTCAAACAGAAGGTGCTTCTGCTGCCCAGACGCTAACTTGGCCGTACTGAGAGAGCATGCAGAGGAGAGAGGACATATTATCACCTCAATAAAACAGCTTGTGTTTAATTTGACTGCTGTTTGCTATCGCAGTAAACTGTACAGAATATGAACACAGCTGGACAGCAAAACACACACACACACAGTTATGTCCATTTGTTAATCATTGATACATTTAGCTGAGAGTTTCTTAGCCCGAGTGTATAGTTTTGTCTTGCCATGAAGATAAGGAGCTACACTTTCGAAAAGTACAAGCAAAGAACATTCAATGAGAAGGAATAGTGGTAACATAATACACCAATGAATGCTTCCACTGACAAGATATGAATCAAAGTAGAAAGACAGTTTCAAATGAAGTATTATACAGGCATCAGTATAACTTTAAGGATATTGGTATCTTATTTAAGTGATACCCAGCGTCAGTTAAGCCATCACAATATGCTAAATGCTTTAGATTGGCTGACATATCCACATGAGTCCAACCATTTTTGCTAAATTAAATGTTTACACTAATATTGTCCCATTTCATACATGATCCAATGACTTCATTGTCCATGTAATCCTGACACATTGTTATTATTTCAAAGTGTTATTAAGAACTAATTAAGCTGCACCTCCACTATATTTAAATAAATGTATACAGATAAATGTCTGCATGATTGAAGATCTACAATTCCTGAGGGGAAAGTTGTTTGTTTTCACATCTGCAGTATGTGTCCTGATAAGACCGGGACTTACACATCGTTAAGTTCAGAAACTCTAGCCAGAAACTCCTCGTATGTTAGGTAGCCGCTGTCACGTACAAGTCCAGCATGTTTCACCAGCTTCTCAGGCAGACGTGTCATCACCCCCTGACCTGAGAGCTGCTGGCCCATCCTGGCTGCAGCAGCACTTCTGAAACAACGCGGACAGAAGGCTGCTCCTCATTCAGTTACACAGAGCCTGCTCAGAAACAAATGGTTAATACACAGATTTGTTTTTTGTTTTTTTTGTATACGTCATTCTTCGGCCCCGTCTATCCATAACTCTAATATTCTTTAACTTCAATATTATTTTTTAAGTAATAAAAACACCTATTGTTCAGCCAAAGAGCAACCTACAACACGATCAATTCAACCTGAATCAAAAGTTGTGTTTGAGTCTTAACACCAGTCTGTGTCTCTTAGAAATGGGCTTAATGTCAACAAGTTTCAAAAAGGACATTTTCACACAAGTGTGACCTAAATTCATACATAATAATAATAATAATAATAACTTTAGTTATATAGCACCTTTTAAAAACACAGGTTTACAAAGTGCTTTGACAAACAGCAAAAACAAGAACAAACTAAACCAAACACAGAAGAACATTAACAACAGTAAGAACATAACAGATGCAAAATACTAAAAATAATTAAATACAATTCAACAGAAAAGAACCCAAAAGTGCACAATACCCAACAGACATATATAACCCGACCATCACAAGAACCATCATAAGAACCCAGGCAACACAAGAACCATCATAAGAACCCAGGCAACACAAGAACCATTATAAGAACCCAGGCAACACAAGAACCATCATAAGAACCCAGGCAACACAAGAACCATCATAAGAACCCAGGCAACACAAGAACCATTATAAGAACCCAGGCAACACAAGAACCATCATAAGAACCCAGGCAACACAAGAACCATTATAAGAACCCAGGCAACACAAGAACCATCATAAGAACCCAGGCAACACAAGAACCATTATAAGAACCCAGGCAACACAAGAACCATCATAAGAACCCAGGCAACACAAGAACCATTATAAGAACCCAGGCAACACAAGAACCATTATAAGAACCCAGGCAAAACAAGAACCATCATAAGAACCATCATAAGAACCCAGGCAACACAAGAACCATTATAAGAACCCAGGCAACACAAGAACCATTATAAGAACCCAGGAAACACAAGAACCATCATAAGAACCCAGGCAACACAAGAACCATTATAAGAACCCAGGCAACACAAGAACCATCATAAGAACCATCATAAGAACCCAGGCAACACAAGAACCATCATAAGAACCATCATAAGAACCCAGGCAACACAAGAACCATTATAAGAACCCAGGCAACACAAGAACCATTATAAGAACCCAGGCAACACAAGAACCATTATAAGAACCCAGGAAACACAAGAACCATCATAAGAACCCAGGCAACACAAGAACCATTATAAGAACCCAGGAAACACAAGAACCATCATAAGAACCCAGGCAACACAAGAACCATTATAAGAAACCAGGCAAAACAAGAACCATTATAAGAACCATTATAAGAACCCAGGCAACACAAGAACCATTATAAGAACCCAGGCAAAACAAGAACCATCATAAGAACCATCATAAGAACCCAGGCAACACAAGAACCATTATAAGAACCCAGGCAAAACAAGAACCATCATAAGAACCATCATAAGAACCCAGGCAACACAAGAACCATCATAAGAACCATTATAAGAACCCAGGCAACACAAGAACCATTATAAGAAACCAGGCAAAACAAGAACCATTATAAGAACCATTATAAGAACCCAGGCAACACAAGAACCATTATAAGAAACCAGGCAAAACAAGAACCATTATAAGAACCATTATAAGAACCCAGGCAACACAAGAACCATTATAAGAACCCAGGCAAAACAAGAACCATCATAAGAACCATCATAAGAACCCAGGCAAAACAAGAACCATCATAAGAACCATCATAAGAACCCAGGCAACACAAGAACCCAACAACAAGAGCTGAGACCAAGAGGACCAAAGATTTAAAAATATGTAAGAAACTAAAAGAGCTGAAAAAATAAAAAGATAACAGCAATAAGAAGGTAAGAGCAGTAAAAGAAATAGAAACAAGTGGTTAAAGGATCAAAAAACCCAAAGGATATAAGGACCCATAAGGATCCCAATCAGCTCTCTGTGTAGCAAACTAGTTATTTACCAGTCCAGGCTTTGTGCACAAGGAGTCATTACAGTGAAAAACAAAGTGAGAGAAAGTGATCATACACTAACTCTCACTGTAGAAACAACAGAGTGATGCTTGTTTCATTTGAACCACCCTCATTTCAGGTGTAATCCAACAGTGAAACAGAAAAAGCTAATCCTAGCAACAGCGTAACTCAACAGCAGCTCGCTAACAAGAAGCAGCAATAATATAATAATACACATGTTACTCACCATAAAGCGAAGACAGCGGCGAAAAAAGTCCAAATCTAACACAAATGCAAGATAGACATATTATTTCTCTATCGTAAGGTGTAATAATGACACTTCTGTTTCAAACAAATACGCCTCAAAGACGCAGGGTTGCAAACTTCACGGTTAGCTTTGTTTCTGTTTGTGATTGCAAAACACGGGCGCACTACGATGACGTCAGAGTGGCGGTTTCCGTGTGACGTCACTGTGCTGTTTGATAAAGTTTGCTAAATGTGTCTGAGAGCGAAGTTATTATTTTTATTTTACGTTTTGACGATTTTCCTTGTACTTATTTGCCTTTGTAAACTGGAATGTCTGGCTGTTTGTACATTTTCATATTTAAATAGAGAAAAAAAGTCGATAAAGTTTGGTAACAAAGAGGATTTTTGTTTAATGGTATTTTAAATTTTAAGTAAATTCTGTATTTATGAGTGAAGAAGTTGCTCCAAATTTTGTAGCATTTAAAAATGACTTAAAATGATCTGGCAGTCGTTGAAAAAAGCTGGAAAAAACAAGTTCCCTGAATAACTTGAGTTTAATATTGATTAAACCCCCCAAATTTTAATTTAATTGTATCTATTTAATTTTGATTTGTATTTATATCAAGTGATTATAGATTTAGTATTGTTGTTTTCTGGTAGATTCGTTGTTGTGTTTTGATTTTCTCCATTTAAATATGTTGCTTTGAGTTATTTGTCAAATGTTTAATGGTTAAAATAACTGTTTGTTAACTGAAAATATAAAGAACGAGAAAAAAATACATAAACAATAGATATAAATATACCAAAGTAAAAACCCCTCTTTCTTGCTTTTAAGGGTTATGCTGTTCATTATAACAATTTCAGCCAAAAACAAAAACAATGAATTTGTGCTGCCTTTGTTCTAAATGTAAACTACATGTTTTGGTATGTTGTCTCCTGGCTTCTTTGCTTTTGTTCTGTTCTGTTTATGTCTGTTTTTTATAGTTTATTTTTTTTGGTACCTTTTTATACTTATGTTCAAATTGTGGATTGCTCTCCTATTCAAGGATGGTCTGAAGTCATATTCGAACACTTGGAATATCTCACAAGTATTTTGAATGTGCAAAAATAGATCCGTTTGGAAAGTCTGTCAGACTAATTTGATTTATCTTGGACCCCTTCTCCCGAGTCTGAATTGTAACAAATGACTTTTCTGTAATGTGGGTAATTTCCTGCAACCTCCCGTGCCCCCTGATTGTCTGACATTTGTTTTTGTTTCTAAGTTTTGGTCATGTTACTATGGCTTATATATGTTTTATTCTTGTGAAAAATAAGGAAATTAAAAAAATGTATCAATGAAAAAGAGCTATGAGTGGAGTTTTAATGTGTAAATATGTATTCACCATGGCATGAAAATGAAGGCTACATTTTTCTGCTACTCTTTAACATTTTATTCGAGTGTTTGTTAATCTTTTGAGTCAGAAATGTGTTCATTTTATCAGAGCTCTCATGGTTGAGTTGTAGATGAAATAGGGTATGTTAATGTCATTGTACCACTAGATAGCAGCAGAGAACACCATAAATAACAGGCTTCAGCTGAAGTCAGAACAGCGGTTGTAATTGAAATCTTCAAGGACTTTATTGTGCCTCTGTACTAAAACGAAAAGGAACAAAGAGCTGAGGAATCATATCAAGTTATCATATTGGGGATGGCAGTAGCTCGGTCTGTAGGGACTTGGGTTGGGAATTGGAGGGTCGCAGGCTCAAGTTCCGATGCAGACCAAGGATGGAATTGGAGAGGTGCCCCAAACAGCTCGGGTGCTCCTTAATGTGCAGCTCCCTCACTCTGACATCTCTCCATCAGAGGATCCTGTTTGTGCATGTGTATGCAGCATGACTCAACAACAGAGTGTAAAAGTAATCCCCCCTTGCAGGATAAGTAAGGTATATAAAAAATTAATAAAATAAAATAAAAACCAGCCAATTAGGAATCTAGTGTCGGGTAAAGCTTGTGTGTGTGATGCCTCTTTAAGGTGCTCTGACTGAAAAAACAGAACAAGAAAGCAGCCAAGTATGAACAATTTCATATTTTATAATGTACACATTCTCAGTTTAGGAAAATGAACATGAGTATAAAGACTCCATACTGTACATTTTGGTCATTTTAATACGTCACATTTCAATCTTACAGCATAGATCCCCAAACAACCCAAGAAAATATGGATTGCTTTGAATCCCAGAAACACACACGACCCAGACGCAGTTCAAAATGAACTTATAGCATCCAGAATAAATACTGTACATAGAGCAGATCCTTTAAAAACCTCAGATGTTTACTTCTTAAACTGACTGACGGGCTGTGTGGTCCATAAGCTGATAGTTCTTATGATGAGCCATTCTTTCTGATTGGCTGTCACAACGATTCGAACACACTCGATGTCAAAGCCTATCTTGTGGTCCACGTTGGTAACCTCAATACTTCCACCTTTAAACTCTCCTAATGTGATGTAAGACGAACACTGCCGCCCCTGTTTAGTTTCCACAGACTTCTGCCCCACTTCCACAGCTCCATGGTGGAGAATATCGTTCTGTCTGTCCTCTGTGCCCGTCACAATCTTTATTCTGCTGATTTTAGTCGACTTATTAAAGATTATGACAAAGAAGTCTCCAGTGCACGGAGGCTTCCCCCAAAAGTACTCATCAACGATGCTGCTGTAAGCCTTTGTGGCATCATAGTTCTCAAAGACGTTGATGTTTGTGTAAAGGCTGGCAGGAGGGTTGTCAGGAATGTCGATGGAGTCTTCTTCAAAGTCGTCGTCCTTCAGTTTGTTCTCGGCTCCTTTGTAAGAGGAGTAGTAGCCCATGTGCTGGAACAACGAGGGCTTAAAGCGGATCACGTCCTTCTGAGCCAGCAGACCCCTGAAGTGGATGAGGAGCCAGTCGCAGGGCATCTCCTGGTAGAACATGAGGAGGAAGTGAGCCAGACGAGGAAGGTCTCTGGAGTGGTACAGCTTCCCGATGTAGCCCAGCTTGGAGAACTCCAGCATCACCCAGTAGGAGCCGTCTCTGGAGGTGATCACCTTCTTCAGTGCCGTCAGGAAGTTCCTGGAGCAGCGCACGTCGTCCTCTAACATCATGTAGAAGTGAGAGAGGTTTGTGCAGAAGTTCAGGAGGAAAGCGTAGTCCACGTTCTGCTTGGAGCGGAAACGAACCCGGTCCTCCGGGTCGTTGTAGTTTCTTTTTAACCCGTCCAGAGATGGATAATACTCCTCAGGAGTGTGAATCACCAGAAGGCGTCCCGCTATGATGTGATGAGCAAACTTTCTGGTGATTTCCTGCACCAGGTTTTCACACCACACCAGGTCAAAGTCTGCCAGGTGGACCACAACCACAATCTCTTTGAGTTCCTCGTAACTGGACTGATCAAAGATGGATTTGATCGTCTCTAGAAGATAATTCCCCTTCTTCCTCTTGACAGATGACAAACCAATAGTAAGATACTCTGTGAGCAAAAAAGGAAAAATAACTTTAATATTAATTTTTTGTGATAAATTATGTAAAAAACAACAACAATACAATAGTATTAGCTAAGTAGAAATGCATACTTTTGCGTGGCAAAGGGATTCCTGCAAGGTAGCGATATGTCACATTTATAGTCCCTGAGAAATTGGACAGATCTCTGAGTGTGTGGACATATCTGTCAGAGTTTGCAGGATGCATCAGCGACTCTCCCAGCTGTCTTTTCTCTGCCTCCTGAAATCACAGATACAAAAGCCCAGGGAGTATATATTGATTATTCCAAGCGCATCCTCACAAAGCATCAACCTTTCAAAGTTGAGAAGGCCTCACCAGCACATATCCGTCATCCATGTAGAGGTTGAAGAAGAGCAGGGTGATGAGGAAGCCGAGGAAGGGCAGCATGGAGCGTTTCCTGAAACACCTCATTTTATCCACAGACTTCCACATCAGCCTTAAGATCACGTCTCTCACTGCAGAGAAACAAACAAGAAAAGAACAAAGTAAGACATGTAGCAGAAAATACATCATACACCCTGACAGATAAATATTCACAAATAAATATTCCCACGGCAACTAGTGCTCTCTAAAGTCAAGCTGAAGTTGGGAAGGTCCTGTGCTGTTTTGCACTTGAATCTTTCCAGAACATATGACACATACATATCAGGCATCGGACAATTATTTCACTGCCTCTCAGTTTTTAACTGCATCACTGAAAAGACAATTGATACTGTTATACAGCAGCTACTGCTAGCATTCAACAACTCTCAACCAAAGTCAAGCTACTTTGGAATTCACACCTTTCTCTTCGTATCATGTTACATCACTGTCCAGTACATCATAAAGCATAAACTGTTACATCCAAGTCAACCCGACACTCCGAGACTGTCAAAAAACTATAAGCTTCCAAACACACACCTGAATCCAATTACCTGGAGCCTTGGCTTTGTGCACAGCATAAGTCAAGACTCCGCCTAGTGTTCAGTGTCGGAATTACACTCAAATGTAAATTTGCAGTGTTGTGTTGGGTTTCTTGAAGGATCAATAAAACAAGCATTTTGGCCCCTACAATAGTAATATTGGTTTATATGTGATTTGATGCTGATTTATTGCTGTTTTTCAACCCTTACACAGCCTGTTTTCCAGTTTATGGTCCGTCAGGAAGCCATGAAAAGATAAAGATTTGTCAGATATCCTACAGGGACTGCAGCTCCAACGCCTCAAAAAAGTTCCTGGTTTGAATCCCACCCGTTGTGGGCCTTTCTATGAGTAGTTTGCATGTTACCCCTGTTCATGTGTGGGCTCTCTACAGCTTCCTCCTACAGCCAAAATACATGTTCACTAGGTTAACTGATGACTCTAACGTGCCTGTGACTGTCAGGATTACTTGTTGTCTTTATTGCTTAACTCTGTGATTGACTGGCAACCTGTCCAAGTTGCTCAATTACAGCTGGGATTAGCTCCAACCCCCCACGACCCCTATGTGCTAACCCTATAAACAACAGATGGATGGAGATACCTGACATCTCTGCGACTAACCACCTGAAACACATCAATATGACATCATAACCCCATTTTAACTTCCCACTCTGAGCATAATGTCAGAGAAAAATGGCCGCCAAGTGAATAGGATGACTAGAGCAAGGTCGAGGCTTCGGCTGCCGTCATAGATTGCTCCATGGAAACGTGCAGTACGGGTATTTCAGACAGAGCTCTGAGAGCAGAAGAAGAAGAGCTTTCTTGGTCAGTATAGCATGCTCTGAGGAATCTGTTACTCCAGTTGACTAAAGTAAATTCAGCACTGATAGATTATTCAAACAAAAAATGGCCATTAATATAAGAATATTGATTTGCGCTGCTTTAATTACATTACTCATTAGTTGCAGCCCTCAGGTCTCAATCATAACGCTGGATGAAATCCATCTTTAATGAGAAACTTGAGATGACAGATGTGGCCTGTGGCACTGATACGGACATACGGACTACTGATCTCAAGGTTTATCATTTGATTAAGTGGATAGATCTAAAAAAAGGGATCAGTTTGGACGCTGATCTAACTTTACACAAGGGGAAACGTCAGTCATCTGTTCACGCCAGATGACGTAAAACTCAATAAACACAACTGGCTTCCCTTTGATCCAGAACAAACGCTCTCAGCTCTGTTCAGGGTGATATTTACTCGTACTGTTGACAGTTTTTCAGAATAAAAAAAAAAGAATTACTCTACTCACTTTCTGTCCTATTTGGCTCCTCATCTAAAAGAATGACTGGTCCCATGGCGCTATCCCTAATTCTGATGTTGCGTAACACAAGAGCACCACCGTCGATGTGAGAAGCCGCAGAGCTCCCCTGTGACAGGGACAATCTCTGCACAGGCTCGTACACCAGCCGCTGGGCCCAATAACTTCGATAAACAACTTATTATTCATTGTGTTATTCATTGCTCGAGTTCCATTTTAGGGGGAAGAAAACATCTGCCATCTGCCAGAGAAGTGAGCCATTTTGTGTTTTCTGTCACAGGGAAAGAAAAAAAAAAAAGCTCCACGATGGCACCTGAGAGACGCAGCGGCAAGAGTAAGTGGAAACTCAATGACAGCTGTGAGTCAATATTATGAAAGGCCTCACAAAGAAGGCTCCTCTGCGCACACACAAACTCCATTATCTGAGACGGCAGCCGGCGAAATCAGATATTGAGGCGATGAAAGAATATCTAACAAGGCGCAATAATGGCCACATGCCTTCTCTGCGGGAAAATATGGCTAAGAAATTAGATTTTTGTTTGCCTTCTCAGAGTGAATGTAAACAACAAACAAGCCTCCCATAGGTCACGTATATTTATATGGAAATGAAGGTACGTCTATGAATAAATAAGCACTGTTTGTTGGCTCTATTTGCTTTTGTTTACAATGCTTCTCTGCCAAGTTGTTGTTTTTTTCTTCCCTCAGCAAATGATCAGCGTGTGTGCGCCGGGGTGAGCTCATTTCTACGACTGGAGTCATTTTAGATTAGAGCCAGTAAAATAATAACAGGTAGAGGAGAATACAAATGAGTTTCAGCACTTAAAAAGTGTTATACATCCTATAGGAGCACTTATCGTGACTCGTGCACATTAATAATACTCTCTCCAGAGGAGGGAACGAGAGCCTTGTTCTGTCCACTAATCTTTTTGTTTTATGAATACACACTCCACAGAAAAAAGAGGAATTAAAGCAGGACTTTAACATTAGAAAAAATGTGCAGTAAAAGTAAGTGAATAAAGGTGAACTTAATACTCAGAAAAGTCATTTATCAGTCAAGTCATTCTACTTTAATCTACAATTCATCATCAGCTGGAGGACAAATTGTGCTTTAAGCTATCATCATGAAACTGGAGTACTGCAGGACGTTCAGTTCAATTGGGTGCTACTTTGGGTGCTTTCTTTAATTGCACATTAAGACCACCGCCAGCAGTAACACACTCATTTAATACCACAGCTGAAAGGGCCATTTTTTACTCCTGCTGTTTGTCTTCAACTTGAATTAACCCGGGCCCACCCCGAAAAGACTCTGGACATTTGTCAGGAAATATAAAAAATGGTAAAAAGATACCAAAGTTGATCTGTTCACTAGATTTTCAAGAAATGTAACCCATGAAAATGCACAAAGTGGAGCCCACGACATGACAACTTATAACAAAGCTTCTTTTCATTTTCCATGAAAATAAAGCAACAAAGCTTTCCTCACACAATGGCAGTGAAGTACTTCAAAGATAACCTCGACATTTTCATCAGGGATATTTTGCAAACTTTTTGAAAGCTCCTCCGACTGTTCTCAGAAGCTGATAGCTCTACTTGTGATGAGTGAAGTGATCCTCGAGTGTCAAATGAGCGGAGAGCTGCTTTAAAAGCTTTTGGAAAAAACAACATCATCTTTGGTCTTTTGCAGGATCATCTGGTGTGGATGTTTTCATCCCACCGCAGAAGCAAGGGCAGCACGATGCAGCAGAAACCACAGCTGTGATAGAACATCTCTTTAGCTGCTGTGATTCTGTACATTTGTGGATTTTACAACATACTAAAATTCTAATTAACAGTCTGAAAAAGTATAATTTGACGAGAAATGTTTAGAAAATTTAAGAAGTTCCAAGTAGACCACAGCCAGCAGAAACACTCTCCTTTAATTACCACAGCTGAAAGGGCCTTTTTTTTACGCCTGCTGTTCGTCTTCAACTTGAATTTTCCCGGGTTCTTACCACCTGATAACTTTTTAGTGGAGGGTTTAAAGTAGTGTTGTAGAGCTTAAAATCGGTCTTGGTCTCAAGTGGGTCTCGACTTTTGAATGTCTCGGTCTCGGAATCAAAAGCATTTTCACTCGGTCTCAGACAGGGTGAACTCCGGATTTGAAATCAAGACCGGTCAAGACCACCACTGAAAGGCAATTCTTTCAAGTCATTCACATGATTCGAGGGAAAACACACATTGCTAAAAGAAGGAATAACTTCAATTCATTCACAATTTCATTTTAATCCCCAGGTTACAGCCACAACCTTCCTGGTGTTACGGTCTAAGTGAGTGACACGCCCACTGCACCCAAGATGAGGATTTTTCTGTGATACTTATGGTCTTGGTCTTGTCTTGGTCTCGATCCCTAAACGTCTTGGTCTTGTCTTGGTCTCGTCTTGGTCTCGATCCCTAAACGTCTTGGTCTTGTCTTGGTCTCGTCTTGGTCTCGATTCCTAAACGTCTTGGTCTTGTCTTGTTTTCAGAGCACTCTGGTCTCGGGTAAGTCTTGGTCTCTGTTGGTGTGGTCTTGACCACAATACAAGTTTTAAGAGTCAATAACTACACCACCCTTGAAAGTCTGAACATTAAAAAATAAATAGCAGTAATGCTTTAAATTCCAACTCTTCCATCAAGGTGCCCTTCAGCAAGGCACTCATCACCCCCCCATCCGCCCCAGCAGCAGCTCTACCAGTATGAAGACTGAGCTGGTTGTACTGGGAGGCTCCCTGGCGGGAACGTTTTATAAAATGCTGAAATGCTGTCTGCTTTCTCAGCAAAACACCTTCCCTGAATAAATGAAGCAATAAACAAGATGGATGGGATACATGTTGCTGCAGAGACACGGTGCTGAGAGGCTCCACAGTGATGTATCTACATGACAGCTGGCTCACATCACTGACTTGATGAACACGGATGATTAAATGTGGTTAACGCCGTTTCCTCAGGTTGGCCATGTGGCGACTGTTTTCACACCCCACACCTGCTGTGAGCTCGGTACAGTAATCCATCTGAAAAACTCATTCTGCCGCATTTTCCTGCACAGAACGCCCTTAAGCAGTGGAGAGCGTGTTGGGTTAGCCGAGGAAAAGAGGAAGGCTTTAAATGCTTATTGAGATGAGAACGCCAAAACCAAAACACACCGAGGGAAGGTCGTTCATTGAAGTGTACAGCTGGTGGAGTGATTATGTTACAGTGTTTAAAGTTTATAATCT